CCTCGCAGTACTAGTGGTCTCAGATCAGGCCTCTAGTGCAGGTGTTCAAATCAGACAGCAGCCTCTACAGGTTTAATAGGCACAGTTGTCACCCCCCAAAAACACAGGAGTCAAGCATGATCCCGTGAGATGTGAGGCCAGCGGTATGCACTGAACACCGGGTAATGCCTTCCCAGTCACTCTCGCAGGAGCCTTCCCAGACTCTGGAGGCCGTGAGCCGCAGAACCTGGCATCCCGCGGAAAGATGTCCCAGCAGAAGTGACCGAGGGGTGCAGACTGCTGGTGTTAGCTACTGGAGAGGCCTCGTTTGTGCACTGCAGTCGTTGGGAATGGGGGAACAGCACAGTGGAAAGAGATAATGCCCCTATGAGATGCAGCAGCCTCCATAAGCCGGGTAGGGACCCTGCCCTGAAAGGGTGGAGCAGCACTCCTGCGTAGCAGCATGCAGGTGGGAAGGCCTTGGTCACCCTGCCAGACATGCTCCTTTGCACCAGCTTCCTCCTCTAGTGCAGAGCAGCTGTCACCCATCCCCTGGAAGGTAAGTCGTAGCCCCACTGTCACAGTCACCTACTGCCCTCACTCCAGACAGACTAACTGGTGCTCATGGAGACATGGGTGCGAGACCTGATCGGCCAAGTGCACGCTCGGTGTCTGACTGGCATGTAACCTGTCCTCCACGAGATCTGTCTGACATGGGTTCATTGCCTGACACGTTTTTATCACTGTTCAATGCCCCAAAGCAACACAGCCTATGCAGAGGGTCCCCAGAGGCAAAAGGAACCAGGACCTAAAGCCACAGGTGAAAGGTGGCTGGCATTAGCCATCTGAAGCCCTCAGACTTGCTCCGTATGTTGCACGTGCGTCTTTGCAAGAAGACCCCTGGGTCGCCCGCTCTGTGGAGCACAGGTCTGTGTTGCTCCATGCTCACCGAAACATTCACTTAAGGAGGCTCCAGAAGTTGCTCTGTTGCAAGCTCCCTCCCTCCTCTGACTCTTCTCTGGCTGTCCGTTTGGTCCCGAGCAGGAGGCACATCTGGACCCTACCTGGCATCCCCCTCAAAGGCAAAGGGAAGTGACTTGTAAGCTTAGTGAGAAAGGAGGGCTGAATGCATGCTGCTGCTTTTCACCTCCACAATAAGGAAGCAATGGCTTTCATGGGCTTGGCTGTATCCAAATGACAGGCTCCCTCGTCCCCAGGCTTCCCCACGGCTTTCACTGGGGTGTCACGGGTGTGTCAAAAGGAGGACCTGGTCCTTTCTATTTCCCATCCAAACAATAGTTGCTGCACTTGCACAGTCATTTAGAAGCATTACTTTTACAGCATCCGGAGGGGGCCTTTGGACCCCAAAACACAAGAGCCACTGGATGTCAAAAAGGGAACCATTCAGCAGGCGAGAGCCCCTATTATATCTGCCTTTGGTGCTGGTGTGACTGTGACTGGAACACCCTTCGGGCTGGTGTGCCCACTTCAAAAAGGATGTTGAAAAACCGAAGAAGGTCGAGAGACAAAGAATAAAGAATTGCAACGTGTGCTCTGTAGTGAGAGTCTGCAGGCCCTCCAGGTAGGTAAGGCATCCACAACAAGGATATGGGGTGATGTACTCACTGCCTACAAATACCTCCCTACAGGAATCTGATCTCGTGGGACTCTTCAGTCAAGCAGATGAAGACCTAACACAATCCCGCGGCTGGAAGCTAAAACTAGGCACATGCAGATTTGAAACGAGGCACAGATTTTGAATGCTGAGGGTGACCCATCGTTGCAACAACTTACCAAGGGTTGGGATGAATTCCCCATCGCTGAAAGTTTTTAATCAAGATGGCAGGTTTTGCTACAAGTTCTGCTGAATTTGAGCTTGAGGTGGGAATTAATACAGGGGAGTCTTTGGGTCTGTGGTAGGAAGGCTTTGCATTGAGCAGTCACAGCAGGCCCGTGTGACCTTAAAAGCTATGAACCGATGAAAGATGGGTTGTGACTGGGGCACTGGGGAAAAGCACGGGACACACACTTGCTCTCCCCCTTGCCTGTGCACTCCTGGTAGAAACCTGGGATACATTTTTATAGTTCTTGCTAAACCATCCTTTTATTTTAAACAAGATCTCAGATCGAGCCAATGTTCCTGGGAGAAATCAGAGCTCACTGTTCCCCACCACGTGGACACTCGAGTGTGCAAAAGCACTGGAAAGTTTCACCTCCAATTTAGCATAACAAAACTTTTAATTTAGATGTTTTCGTCTATCTATCGGAGTAAAAAAAATAAGTTTAAAATAATGACTGTAATAAATGAAGGTAATTAATTGTAGTTTGTTCCTTTACTGTCTAGTCAGCTTAATTTTACCTTTTCATCTAATAATGAGAAAATAATTTTTGTGCTCTGAGGGTTAATGATATGTAACTGCAAGAGCTGCTAATTGCATGTTGCAAACTATTCATCAAAATCCCCATCTGCGCTACTTGATTATGTTTGCTAAATTATTGCTTTGAATTATCTTTCATAAAGCAACTTTTGTAATTAGCAGGGCTTTTGGTTTGCTCTTTTCTCTGTGCGCAAGGATATTCAGACTTTGTCCATTTCAAGCTGTTGCCATTAAGCTACCGTCACGGGCAGCTTTGTGTTATTCTGCGCCAGAGAAATAAACTGGCCTTTATCTAATCAGAATGAAAAACAAAAGCTGTTTTTATTCTCAGCGGGTACAATTTATTCCTTTCTTCATCACCCCGCAGCCCCCCTCCCCACAAAGCAAAAGAAATTACACAGAAAGGATACAGGAGCCTAAATGTATACCAGCTACTTATGGCAACCGCAAAAACACAGGTTAGTATTTCAAAATGATTTTTTCCCCTTTCTGTTTAGAAGAAAGAATAGAAGGGAACGTCTTGGCATTCATCACAAGGTTTTTATGGGCTACTTTCCGTGACTCAGATGAAGTAGCACTGTATTCTCCCTGGTAAATATTCATGCTTAGTGCAGGCTAAAGCCATTAAAAAAAAACAACAAAAAACCAATGCAGCACCAGGCATTCGAGCCGTGAGCGGCTGGACGGAGCTGGGGCATGATTAGAATGGCTGCACCATGGGGGGACTCTTCCTCTTCCTCCTCCTCCCTAGGGGAAGGGCTAACTCTTAATGTGCTGAAGCAAGCAGGAACAGCGGGGATGGAAATGGGCTATTGGGTTCCTGCT